GAACATTAGACAAATACAGGTCATTTTAATGTATATCAATTGTTTTTTGCTATTAGAAATTCTGACAAAAACCATGCCCTATCATTTATCAATTTCAATTATCATGGGAAGTATTTATTGAATAACAAGAATAATAATTATTGAAGGTCATTTTGAAAAAAAAAAATCTCGCTCAAAAATAATTATAAATCGATGACTTTTCTTTATTAGAAAGGAATAGACAGACATCGTACTAAAAAACTAGATCAAAAAATGAATAGATGAATGAATAGTTCTTTTGATTAGATGAGAATAGACACATATAAAAAAAAAAAGTCGACAAGATTTCTGTCGAACGAGACAAACAATTAACAGGAGGAGCTATAACGCCAACGCTTTGATACAAACATATACCTATCAATATATATAGAAAATCAAAAAAAGGACAAAGACAAACGACTTCAATAAGTATCAATCATTATTTTATTCAAGCAATAAGTTTCTTCTCTTCTTTTTTTTCCCATTATTATTATTCTTTTATCTACGTTGGATTCATTTCGACCTTTTGGCATTTTGTCGTCTATAGAAATAAATAATAGAAAAAAGAAAAAAGAAATTTAATTTTCACGTTCTTTTTACTTCTATAAGATATAAAAAAGAAAAGAAAAAAAATCATTTTCTTCTCAAACAAAGATTTTTTATCTATATGAATACAAACGTGTTTAATTAATTATGAAAATCATTGAAATATTTTGATACTACTTTGTACTTTCAATAGAAAATAAGTACTCATAAGAATATCACATTTCAATTATTTATGTCTATCTTTTCACTTTGGTACAAACTTATGTTTACATTAATATGATAAAACAAAAAAAAACAAGAAATTTTTCAAAGAGGAATGTCGTTTATCATAATAGACAAGTCAAAAAAAAAGAAAGATTAATTACGAAACATTTTTCCAATAGATTTTCTTATACATGATGTCATCATCTTGAAAATGACTAAAACTACTAAATAGTTCATTCAGTTCGATAGAATGCATTTTCTCAATTAAGATCATAATAATGCTTTAAATTAAACAGGAAATTATTATCAAACATCATCAATAACTAACTTTGAATAGTTCTCATCCTATATAGATAATGAAGATGGATTTAGTTTTTGATAGTTATTTTGGAGATTTATACAAAAAACTACAAAATAGAAATAGGATTTCATATTTATTACAATATTTGTGATAATTATTTGTATTGTATCTTTCATAATCTTTTTGTTTATTAAGGTCACTAGATACGTCAGAGCAGTATGATTAACCTGTTAATGACACTTGAAAACTGCATTAAACAAAGGAAAATCTATTTGAAATGAAGACATGAAATTCTATAGAGAGAATATCATTGACATGTATCAAGTTAATTTTATATTACAAATGTCAGTAATTATTTGTAAGTAATTGTAACAATTGAATGTTAGAATACTAATGAAAAAGGTAGATCTTATAAATTGTATCTAAAAATAAAATAAATCAATATATATACCAATGATTTAAAACTGTTTATTACAATAAAATATTTTAAATAATGAAAAAATTTCTAGAAAAGATAATAAATAAAAAGTAATCAAATAATTAAATTAATATAAAATAGAAGTGTAACAATGAAAGTTGAAAGAAAAGAGAAGAAAATGACAAGCATTAGATTTTTATAATGTGAACAAGATCCTCAATAGTTTTGACGAGAAGTAAAGAAATTGACAATGAGTCAGAGGCAGACAGTCTGGCAGAAATTAATTAAGAAATGGTGCCTTCTTAGAATTTCGCAAACATGGCGTAAAAAGTAGAGAAAGAGAGATAGACCGCCCCAATTTCTCCTCCCACATCAAGATCTATATAAGTGAATATGAATAGAATAGAATTTTTTCGTATTTATTACATATTAAATAACTAAATTGAACAAACAATCAACATCATACATTGATGGAATTTTCAATTTTACAAATTATTTTTTACTATTCTATTGAATAAAATTAATTTTTTTTTCCGGATTTTATTTTTATTTGAAATTAGTATTAAAAAAAAATGCTTGTTCTCTCCATAGAATACAAAAGAAAAATGATTCAATTTTGAAAGAAATTTTTGTTTGATTTGACTCGATGATCCAATAAACAATGTTAAAGTTTATGAATAACAACAAACTTCTATCAATATGATTTTATTACATTTAAAAATGATCATCAATGTCGTTAATAGATACAATCTATACTGATGAATAATTAAATTATTTGGATTCGGAATCGATGACTTTGATCGAATCATTCTTATAGTCAGTTTATTATCGATGATAAATTATTTTAATTTATGTTTATTGTCTAGACAAAAGAAATGAAAATAAACAATGAGTTAATCAGTAGTTTTATTCAATCATATTCATTTTCTTTTTATTAGATTTTCAAATAGAAATAGAATTAGTGGTTATTTTTTAATATAGGATAAAGAAATCTGATAGTTTAATTGGACAAACTTATTAACCTAATAAAAGAAGGTCAAACTGAATGAAGACATAAACAAAAATTAATCAAGTATAATTGATCAGTTTATTTCCATAGAATCAACAAAGGATAAAAATCATGGATGAATATTCAATTGTTAATTTATTTGTTGATATTTTATTAATTGGACTGTCTTATCTAAATAAAACTAATTCAAACTGATAAAAAATCAATTTATCACTTTATCTAGACAATAGTAAAAACAACTAATGATGATTAATTGAAGATTTTAAATGAGGATGTTATATTTATTTTGACTTTTTTCTTTTATTTACGATATTCAACAAAAAATAATATAGAAAAACAAATAATCTTGATAGATTTATTTTTACCAAAGTCAATAAATCTGTTGAAAGATAATAGTCAAATGTTGAAAGATTCTGTTGACAAACGTACGTTGATATATTCATTTCTTTCAACTAATATCACTCGTCAGTAATCTCAAGTATTTTTCTCTCAAAATATAGTTCGATAAATGACATTCAACATTATATTTTTCAAACTTTATGCATATTTTTCTTATGTAAAACAAATTTTATTCAAGGTAGAATTAATCTTTCAACTTGTTAGTATTATATTTATCGTAATCAAAACAGAATATGAATCAGTTAAAATGACATTCTTTTTTGTGTCTATGAGGAATTAGTTTAATGTGAATGAAACAAATCCTATTATATTTGTTCAGATAATATAAGATATAGACTAAGTATAACAATGTTTACATGCACTTTTCAGTTTTGTTGCTAAGCTACTCAATAGTAATAAATGAATCGAACTTTTTGATAAAAAAATTTCGTAATGTAATCAAACACAAAAATCTTATTATGAATCAAATTTGAAATGATGCTTTAAATTGCTTAGGAATGATAAGAGAATATTCTATTCAAATAATTTTAATATAACATATAATAAAACTATATTTATAATATTCTTAATGGAGGAAAAACGATCATATTTGTTATATCAGAAGATATTAGTAATTGTACAACGAATCTATAGATAAAATGATCTAGATGTACTTCAATGTCAACATTAACGTCAATAATAACTCTGATAAATAAAGAAAAATATTTTGAGACATTGAATTGTCATCAAATACTAATAGTTATTTGTAATAAACAACTTGACATTAATCATCCGTCTCTAGATTGTATTATAACACAATCTTACTATTATTTACTGATTGAAAATTGCTTTTAATCTGGTATAAAGTATCATTCAAAATCGTTTTTTTTTCAAAGAATAGTCGATTGTATAACGAGATAAAATGTACTTCTCAACATATACGAGACTTTGTTTTTAGACTCATTCGATAGAGAATTTCCTGTTCTACAAAACGACCGTCTTTATTTTTCAAATAGCTTTTCTTTTGTCGGTATAAAATTTAGAAGATGAACACCCACTTAATCGTCTAACTGCAATTTCCGATTTTCTCCAAGCATCTATCGATATGTATATATTTTTGTTCATCCGAATCGATGCTAAAAATAAAGTAGTTGACATCAATGAGTAGAGAATTTTGTATTCTCTGCTCCCATGACCTTTTCAATGTCTCTGTTCATTCAATCGAATGTAGGATTTAATTCCGAACAACATGATATGATTGTTCTTGCGAGAAACAAAAGTCTTCACCCCAGTCGATCTCGACTATTGTATGTGTTGAAAGTTTGAAAACTTGTGTACAGACACTTATTATCGTCGTCAGACTTATAACTCTGAGAAGGAAGAGTATTCTGTGTTGTCCGAGCTATCTGTATTAATAATTTCATTGAAGTTCATCAAACATTTTAAAGACGATGTTCATTGTTATAGAAGAGAAAATATCTATCGTTTTTTTTGCAGATCAATAATACAATAATGACACAAGTTCAAAATTTTTGAGAAGTTTTATCTACAGTTAAATATTATTATCTACAAGTTTCAGAAGTGAATCTTGTATTAAAGAGAAATCGAACATAGATAATAATCTTGTTAGTTCCGGAAACATTAATATTCGAGTAAATGAATTTATCTTTGGGACGAATAAAGGCCGTAGACGAGATTTCAATGACATATTAAAATATTGCGCATTAGTCGTATTTTTAGTAAGAAACAACACAAAATTTTGTATACATTTTCTTGTAGGTTATGTTGCTCCGAGCAACAAAATATCTGTTAAACCTCGATTTAATCATAAATATTGAAAAATAACAAAAGAATTTCATTTTAAACATTCGTTTCTTTGTTCATTATCATATTTAAAATAAAATCAATCATTTTAAAACTAAGTTTATATTACTGACAAAAAAAAAGAGAAATGGCTAGATAAACAATACTAGTTTAACAAGGGAAATGCAGGATTAAAATACAGAAAAACAAAACTATCTATGAAAAAAAAGCACAAGCAGGTTTGAATCGGAGAACTAAATAAAATTTGTTTGTTGAAATCGCCGGACTATGACATGCAAACATAAATAATAATCATAAATGAATTAAGTAATCACAGTTGGTTTGTCACGTCCAGTAAATTCTTCCAATTGAGCTATTTCAAGTCCTAATGAAACCAATGGTCTAAGCATTTCCTATAAGACAAATTAATTAACAAAAATAAATATTTATTGTTAAATAAAAACAACAAACAAATAAACTCAACCTGTGCATCTTTAGTATAAGTCGAAGGATTATTTTCATATGAATCAACATAAAGACGAACAGTAGCACCACGTGCACCTGTACCACTTAGACGAAAAACTAATCTTGAACCATCAGTAAATATAATTCGAATACCTTGTTTTTCTGTATAACTTCCATCAACTGGATCTTGATAATGAAAATCATCCATTATTTTAATTGTATATTGTTTATTTCCATAGGGTGTATTAAATGATTTATTAACTAATTCATTTGACATACACATTTGTTCAAGTTTTTTCAACATTGAAAATGGACCAGGACCATCGATTTCTTCATAATCATAACTATATATTTAATAATTTAATTTTAATTTGATCAAAATAAAAAAAAAAAAAAAACGTTTAAAATACCGTGTAAAAAAATTTCGTCCATATGTATTCCAATGTGCATGTAAAATTTTTTCAACAGATCGATCAATATTAGCTAATAATGATAACCATGCAAGTACAGCCCACATACCATCTTTTTCTCTATACAAATATAACAAAAATAATTCTTTTTTTTTTTGTAATTTTGAAATTAAATTCAACAAATATATATACCGAATATGATCAGAACCTGTTCCAAATGATTCTTCACCACAAATTGAAATTAATTTTGAATCCATTAAATTTCCAAAAAATTTCCAACCAGTTGGAACTTCATATAGTAATTTTTGATTTTTTGCAGCCACACTAATTAAATATAAAAATAAATAAATGCATTCAATCCAGAAAAACAAACTATTATTGATACTGTGCAGTTTTCTGTCGATTTTAATCAATAGGCAAAACGAAAAGATCAGACTTTTAAAATCATATCAAACTTCCTATGATATTCTTCAAGGTCTTAAATAGTACCCGACGTGTCGAAGTTTTTTTTTGTCACGGTTATAGCGGTCACCAGAGATGGAACCGATAACAGTTACCAGCCGATAAACTGATCATCACCATTGTGCCTTATTAATTTTTTTGCTCTAACGGGGATATCTCACCAATGCTAAAAAGCTTTTGAGCTCAAATTTTGTCCACAAGTAGGGAATATATAGACGTTGAAAATCCATATCTTAGAGATAATTCATCCAGAAAGTCTGAAAATTTGTAGACAAGTTAGTCTAATTGAGATCTTGATGAGTGTAAAGTTCCAGATCAAAACTCGAAACTTTGATTTTACTGGGAAGATAAAGTCCTATAGGACGATAGTAGTAAAAACTCGATATCACAGCCAAATCGTAACTTGGATCCATATTCTTTTAATCTATACATCCACAACCTGTGGGGAAAAATTTGAGCTCAAACGCTTTTTACCGACTAGAGAGGTTCTCTCGTAAGTATTTCATAGAGGATATGTAATGAAACTTTGCTGAAAGTTGACTATGTCAAATATCATTATCTACAGATGGAGGAGTACGACAACTCTGGTTTGTCGCGACTCGCGTGACCTCTTTTCGTAAACAATGTATACTGTTGACGAACATCAGATATACCGAATTTATTGTTCAAAGAATCAAAAATTTGCTGCAGCGAAAAAAAAACGATTATTGTATTAAGTGAATAATGAACAACTCAATTTCAGCGGTGATATATATTCATTGAGAAAACCTAAACAAATTCTCGAAAGAAGTTAAAAAAGGTGAGATTATTTTTAGTATAGAAACTCTAATACAGTTTACGCCAACATAAAACAAGCGACTATTTCAATCAGAGATGGAACTGATCTGAATTTTTGACGAGCGGTACCGGTTCTATTTCTGATTTCAATATCCATAACTGTGATAACTATGAGTCACACCGAGAACTAGTTCAAAGGGCATACGCTTCAACTGTGACAATATCCGGTTGTTATTGAAATCAAAGTAAAATAATTCTATTTTATTAGAAGGTTAGAGTTTACAATATATTGCTTATTGAACTAAAAATCATGATGATAAACAAAAACAACTGATCTCATTGTTAACTTTTCTTTTATAAAATAATCCAAAAGAAAAAAAAGAGTAAGTATCTTCTAACTAATTCGATTATAGTATGTAGAATAACACACATATTACTTTATAAAGAAAAGAAATTTCTTTTTTTATACAAACCGATCAACTGCACCAGATGTAGGCATACTTCTTGCATAACCATGAATACCATGCTTTTGAAAATATGGAATAACATTAAGATTAGCAGCTAAAACAGCTAATGAATCACAAGGTGTAACAAAAAATCCACCTTTGCCTAAAATCATATTACGATCCTATTTAATTAAGAGAAAAAAAAACAAACAAATAAAAGAAATATTTGTATCGATTGAAAAAAAATATGAAACTAACTCCATCTCCATCAAATGCAGCTCCAAATTCATAATCTCCATGTTCCATATCTTCAACTAATTCATGAGCATAAGTTAAATTTGGATCAGGATGATGTCCACCAAAATCTTCTAAATTTTCGCAATTTTTAACAGTAACTGCATTTTTTGCATTTAATTCTTGATGAAATATTCGTAAAACATATGGACCCATTACACCTGATAAAGCATTTATCATTATTGGAAATTTTCCTTTTTCTCCATTGAGTAAATTTCGAATTTTATCAAAATCAAATATTTCTTTCATGAATTGAACATAATCATCAACAGAATCAATTATTTCAATTTCAAATGGTATTGAACGACCTTCTATTTCATATGTATGTTTACCAAGTGTTAATAAATCAATATTTGTTAATGTTGGACAAAGACGAATATTTGTTAATTGACGACTTTTATCATAAACACTATTCGTTACTGCTTCCGGTGCGGGACCTTAATTAGAGATTTTTTTTTTCTTTTGATTATGATTATTTATTCAATAAAGAACAAACCTCCATTTGCAATATTAAATTTCACACCAAAATCATTATCAATACCACCCGGATTATGACTTGCAGTAAGAACAATTCCACCATCAGTACCATACTTTCGAATTACACATGAAACAGCTGGTGTTGACATTTTTGCATCTCGTGCAACCAATAATTTTTTAATCTAAATTTAAATTTTAGTTAGAATAGAAAAATTCTTATATTTCGTTTTATTTATTTCTTCTTTGTAATTTCCTTTTTTCTTATTTATCTTGTATCTCAATAAATTATAAACTTCTCATATAGATACTAGAGATCAATCAACTTATCAGTTCAAAGTCAAAGTGTGGAACTCACAAACTTTGACTCTTATAAAGGCGTTTACAAGTGCCACAGTCGTTTTTGATGAAACAACGGGACATATGTAGACTTCTAAAGGAAGTAGGGAGCTGCGAGCCCACGTTTTTCTGGGTCTGGACCCAAACCCGAAGTTTTTTTTCCATCAATACGTGTCACTCTTCGTGTACATGAACAAGTAAAGGATCAAGGTTTCAGCTATTTATTCGCTACTCTCAGAAAAAAACTCAACGTACAGTTATATTTTGTTGCTGGATTTCTCGTCTGAGGAGCAGCGGGTCTACAAAAACGTGTAACCGGGCTCAACAAAAAATAAAAGGTTGGACTCGAAACCGGTCGGATCTGAAAGGACCTACAGCTCCCTAAAAAGAAGACTTTCTCTGTTAGATTATATAGATATTTTCCAGTTCTAAACCGTATTGTAAAGATGTGAATAGGTGACGCCATCTATCAACATCTCTACGGTGCGCAGTAGAACTTGGTAATAGCTATATGATCTAATAGAGGAAGTCTTCCTTTGCAAACCTACATACGTTCCGTTGTTTGGTCAAAACCTTATAATCGTCTTTATGGTATATCGTTAGATGATTTTAAATAGTTTATTTTAAAAAATGCTAAATAAATGAATAGTTGATATGTGCGCTATGAAATTCTATCATTTCGACAATGTTTGTATTTAGAACAATTTATTAGATTCATTTAACCTTGTTATACTAAACAAAACTTCTTTATATTGTCAGATAGATCTTCAATACATAATTTCTTTTTGTCTAATAATAATATCTACGATACATGCTATAAGGAAATAGCAAACATAATTTTATTCGTCGTTTCGTTGGTTCAACTACCATATTAGCCTATGAAACACATTGATTTAATCATTTAGTAAGCTTCCAAGCTCACCATCCATACTCTCGACAAACTCTCACATATACTATTGAGTTTTACTTAATCTTCGAATTGAATTAGTTCATACTTTTCTATATCCATCTTATTGTGACTCTACTAGATCAATAATACAATCACCCTACTGATTAACACCTACAATAAGATCTGTTTGTTGTATTAAATACTAAAACCTGGAAAATTTAAACTATTGTCGGATTTTTAAAAAAATACCAACCACTATTATCTTGAATAGCTATCAAAGTCGAGTTCTCGTCATTAGATATAGCAATGCAGGAAACATCTATCAATGTAATATTCATTAAGTTCTAGGAAGTTTTTCAAGGATATTTCTACAGATTTTCATAGCAATCTATGTTCAAACTACACCAAAATATAGTCTGAAGAGTGCTGTATTTCCTATATAATTGTTCGACTGTTTCATTCTCATCCTAGACTTAAGCTTCAGGAAAAGTTTTCTCAAATCTGGAAATTTTATGGATAATACAGATTACCCTTGACTGTAAATTGCTACGAAAACTTGTAGAAATGTGCAACAGAAAAAAAAAGTTCACTTAGAAATATCCTTGAAATAACGTCCTAGAACTTAATGAATATTACATCGATAGATGTCTCCTGCATTGTTCTATCGAATAGTGAAAATTTGACTTCGATAGTTATACAAAAAATTATAGTTGACATTTAAAAAAATATCCAAGAATAGTTAGAATCTACAGAGTTTTAGAATGATCAAAGCACTGTTATATAGTGACATGCCTTTTTTGAACTCATTGACCTCTAACAAAAACTTGTCTAAAATTGACGTTCAGAGTTTTTATATCATTCATATAAAAAAGAAATCCGAATTCATATTAATATATAACTCATTATCGAGATTAGCTATTTTAATAGTTTGTTCTTATTGACTTTTGACCTTAGCAATCAAACATAAAGGACGAACACAAATAAAACTTTGACTTCGTAGAAAATTTTCTTCTTTGATTTTAAAATAATAAATTTGAAAGAAAAATCGAATCAAAATATAAATAATTCTTACATTATTGGCAGCAGCCATTTGAATAATAATTTGAGCACTTTCTCGTACAAAATGTCTTCCATCACCTCCAACAACTAATGTTGGTGGTTTACCATTCATTGTTTCAGTTAAATCATCAAAATAAGCTTGAATAAAATTTTCAAAATATTGATTTGCTTTAAATGTTTTTGTTGGTTTTCTTAATCCACTTGTACCAGGTTTTTGATCTGTAAATGGTTTTGTTGTACGAATTTCAATAGCATGTTTTATTTGTTCCGGATTAGACATTTGTTTTTTTTTTGCAAGAAATTTCTTTATCTAGAAAAAGTGAAACTAAGAAAAAGAACAACAAAACGAATGAAATTATATTAAATTTCTTTTATCATAATACAAAAAACAATTTTAAGTAACACGAAGACTTTGTAAATGTGCTTGTGTTGAATTTAAAGCTTGTTCATGTAATTGTTTCTGTTCTTCTTGTTTAAAAGCGATTTTTGTTGCTTTTTTAATTATTCGACGATCCTAAAATAGAATAAAAAAATTTTAATACGAAACGAAAAAGCAAAAAAAAAAAGAATTAAAAATTTTACTCTTCGAATTTCTTTAACAGCATTTTTTCGTGTACGTCGTTCTTCACTTGTTTCACCTTTTTTTCTTTCGAATGTAATTGTTTGTTGATTCGTTGATTCATTATCATCGTCATCATCATCATTTGTTGATTCTTTTATTTTTATTTTATTATTATTATCATTTAAAGGTAAACCTGTTTTTTTTGATAAACGTATTCGATTTATTGGATTTTGTGTTATTAATTTTGGATGATTATATATATTTGAATATGTTGTTAATATTGTTTCACAATCCCATTTTTCATCATCGTTTTCATCATCATCAACAGTTACTGTTGTCAATTTTTCAGGTTCATTTAATAATCGTTTAGCTAATTTTTTTGTTTTTTCAATTGCTGCATGTTCAATTTGTTCCTCACTAAAAAAGAAAAAGAATGCTTTTTTCGTATTTTATATATCGATTGATGCAATTTCAATAATTGAATTTTTGAAGCTAAAAATTTGGCAGACGAGTTTTTTGACAATAGCTCAACGCTTTCATAGACACTCCTTTCGAAGTTATTACAATACTACTGAATTTTATATCTTTGGCAACATATTTTTGAAAAATTTGAATTAAAAAATTTCAAACTGAAATTTCGCCCATCGGTAAGTTCGATGAACTTTAGAATGCTCGAAAAGATGTGTTATTCTTGAGATTAAGAAGAACATTTCCTTTTGTACTAAACTAATTGGTGAATCATATTTGGAGACATTTTCTATTTAAAAATATAATTTATATAAATAAATAAATATTACGTTTGCATTTGTTGTTGTTCAAATTGTTGAATAGTTTGTTGAACAAGATCATCTTGAATTGAAGCACCTTGTTGATTAATATGATGAGAATCTAAACCACCAATATTTTCATCATTATATTCATCAAAAATTTTATCAAAATGATCATCAATATTTTGTAATCCTTGATTTCTTCTAATAACTGATGATGTCATTGAATAATTTGTATATTTTGTTTTTGATGTTTGCTTATCATCATCATCTTGATAAGACATATTTGATTCAATATCATCTTCGCCATCATCATCTTGATCAAGAAAACGTCTTAATGCAAGTGGAATTGGTTTATTAGTTTTTGGGATAAAACGTGGTGGAATAGTCGTTGGTAAAATTTCATCTATTATTTCGTCTCTACATAAAACAAAAGAAGAATTTTTCTTAATAAGAAAAAAAAAAAATTTTTTTTTTTGTTTTGTTTTACTCGAATTCATCACATTCATCATCAGCAAGTGGTTGAATACCATTAGCTTTGAGCATAAAATCATCATCAAGAAAATTTTCATCAGCATCATAATCGAATTCATCATCATCAAGTGCAGCAATAACATCAGGATCCCAATGAATTTTTGGATCTGAAAAAAACATTTCAAATATCTTCTTTTTTTTTCTTTTATAAAAATAAATTTCTACCAGAATCTGGAGCAGCAAGATTTAACATTCCAATTTCATTTGTTGTTTTACTTTCAAAAACAGTTGATGGAAGATTAAAACGAGTTACAGTCTAAATTGAAAAAATAATTAACTATTCGAGAAAAAACTTTTTCTTTTTGTATTATGTTACATTTTCTTGTTCATCCTCATCCTCATCCTCATCATCTTCTTCTTCTTCTTCTTCTTCGGTTTGATTAACATGAACAGAATATTCTTCTGGTGGTGCACATGGATCACGTAAATGTTGTAAATAATCATAATCATCATCATAATCAATTCCAAATTTACGTTGTTCAGTTTTTCTTTGTTCAACCTTTAGTTTAAAAAAAAATTTTCTTTCCAAATAAATAAAAAAAAACAAAGAATTTATTTTAATAAATAACTTACACCAAGTGGAACAAGTACACGTTCACCAACAGTATCATCAGCAATTAATGGATCATGTTGACTACGATGAACAAGTTGAAATGTTATAGCTTTTTTTTTATCAATAAATTTTCGACGATGAGGCATTTTTTAATCAATATTTTCTAGAATATAGACATTTATTTAACATATAGAAATGTATTCAATATATATTTATGGCGCAAAATAAATCATTTACTTGTACTTATACTCCATTGCAATATTATTTGTTTATTTATTGATACAATAAGAGCATTAGATGATAGATGCCACTTTTAAACGAACATAAACTAAATTAAATTAAATTACTTTATTACAAATAATACCAACAAAATACATTTGAATTTATATATAAAATTGATTATTACATTAATTAAAATAAATATTGTTATATTACACTTGAATATCATCCATTTAACCTTGAAATCAACAATTTATTACCTATGATAGAAGTTTTTCTTAAACCGATCGAATGCAAATATTCACTATAAAAGAAGAAAAACTTTAATTTTAAGTCTTCGTTTAACATTGGGTGAAATGCAGTTATTCATTCGTATTTAATCGATTTTATATTTAATAATCAGACATATGAAAAATACTATTTATAGGTTTTTTCTAACGAAATAATCTCTTCCAAGCAGTTTTTTGACACGAGATTTGTGTCATTAAGCAACGTTCATGGAGACCAGGTCGAAGGGATAACGATTTATCTACTTGTTGCTTTCTTCTCGAGTTATGACCCTTTTACTAAATTTCTCGTCAACAGTAGAGTAGGTCATCAAAAATTCAATGTCGTCAGTTCGATCTAAAATTTGAGATATGTCCAAATACCATCAGTTCTGAATTGATGAAACTCTCAAAAGTGCAACTCTAAGAAGTCAAAAATTTATGGAAATTTAGGTAATAGATCAATCTTAGCATTATAAATGAAATTCACATCACCACGCTTTGCTTACTCACAAATTTAAACACCTAATTAACATTCCGATATGTGTGTGGCTGCAAGTGTAGAGAGGACCAAAAGTCAGATCCGTCCACACTTACATCCATATCTTTCCATGAGTTCCGAACTCAAGGAACTCGGTCACTGCTATAAAATTTCGTTAATAGAGAGGTCTTATGAATTTTCGATGACATACTCTGTACTTGGTCAGAAACTCAATAATATAGCCATAACTCGAGAAAACAGCAACAGAAGAGCATGAATCATTACAGGTTTGCTCTAGTCTCCATAGGCTCTCTACGTAGCAACACAAGTCTCATCTTATAAAGCAATTCAACGTTTATTATACACTTTTTGAATTTGACATACATGTAAGACTCGAAGAATTGTTACAAGTTTTCAACTAGAGGTGCGGATTTGTGGTAAGTCGGTTGAGAGGAGAGACGTCATATCCACATCCGAGTATTCGATTAATAAATTTTAATAGTTGAAAACTCGAATAGAAGTTTAAAATGTGTAATGATTTCTACATTAGTGGAATTTGAACTTAGAAAAGGTAAAAACTTTTCTGTTTTATATTGAATGAAGTCAAGTTAGCGCTATGACATGAATTCACTAAAAAACAACCAGTAGTAGCTCGTGGAATAGCAAAATGGTAAACAGAAACTTGTCGTCTGCATAGTTTCACTGAAAAATGTTTTTGTGGAAATCCTACCTCTAATACATGCGAACCAACGAAGGAACAGGTTGCTGCTTGCAATTAAACTTTATTATCGTATGCATGCACTGAATATATCAGCTCAATATCATAAAGAACAAGAGCACATCATGGGTGGGCAACTACTTTTGTCCAGGAATGTAATATATTATATACTACTTTAATAAGTAGAAAGATTTTTACATTTGCATATTGTATATATGAATAAATAATTGATGATGGTTGTTTTACATATTTATATATTAAAAACTAAGACGGAAGAGAATCACAAAAAAATCCAGTTTCTTTTTAAGTGGGCTCCCCTCCTCCAAAAATGTCAATTTTGTGATTTCTAGCTCGTTAGATAGAGCTAAATGTTTACTTTCGAATGCAGTATAATTTATTGATTTTATGATGAGATTTAAGGATATTGCACAGGCTTTTCTGAATCTCTCAGGATAAAATAAGGTTTTTTCTAAAAAGTTTTGTTTTTTTCTCAAAATAGGATTTTTGATTTTTACTTTTCCGTGCGTCCTAGATTTCTCCGCCATTTTAAACGCTAGAAAGCTGGGCTTGACGTCGAAATGAAGGCAAAAATTAGTTCTACAACTTAACAGAGTCGAATTTTTCGATTTCCTCATTAATGTTTATAATAAACTAACTTTTCTGGACTTGTCCCCATCGGTTTTTTCATATTTCATCAAAGAAATTTTCTAGAAGAGAATCGAGAAATCGGGCCCTGTTAAGTTGTAGCGCCATATATCGGTTACATTTTAAAACCAGTCCGAACTTTCTAGCATTCGAAATGGTGGAAAAATTTTGGATTCACGGAAACCTAAATTTTGAGTCATAATCTTTTGCTAACTCTTCGTAGACTCAATACATCGAGCTGAAATTTTTACTGTGATCTGTCTAGCTCGAGATACACCTCCATTGAAAATTTCATCATGATTGGATGTTCAAAAAAACAAACTTCATTTTAGAGAGGGAGACTTCTTAAAATTTCTTTATGATTAATGTTCAACGCGTCTTTTCAACACGATCTAAAGAGTCAAATTATACCAAAAAAAAAAAAAACATTATCAAGCATAAATTTTCATCTCTGAAGCACAAGAATTAATGTTTAATACGTTTCTAATCTATTGAAAATATTTATAAATTCAAATAAAGTGAGACTATCGTTTTTACGAATTTGTTTTTTTGATAATGGCACGACATTTATATCATTAAAACGTATCGTTTAATACTGATGCTATCATCAATAAATCGATGGTGACCTGCGTTGTGTTCGTACATATTTTTATTGATAGTTCGTGCATTTACTCTGTTGATTTTAATATTAGCATAAAATATTTCGATATATATATATATATATAATTCAAAAAGTTCGATAAAAGATTAATGCTGAAATTTCCTTTTTTAAAGGAGAAAAGTCTTGACAATTTAAATGACATTCATGATAAAAAAATTCAAACTGATAAACTTTTCTTTTTCTAAAAAAAGAAACCTTACATAATATAACTACAGTCGATATTTCGATGTTTGCTTAAGGAATGATTCGATGTCGACATACACTTTTTCATCCACATGTTCTTGTCATTCTGATATTAACTATGGTAGCTGCCAACTTTTACATTTTTTTTTTATTACTACTAAAGGTAACTCTCCTTTACTTTTTTACACGTGATGAAAGACACGTTTAAACAGGTAGACGAAAAAGAAAAAAAAAATTCTCTTGCCTGATAACATAGTGCTTGAAGTTGACTGTTTCATGCATTTTCAGTTACCAATAACTATTACTCGTCAACTAATATTACAATTCTTCTTCAACTAATACACGTAAGTCAATAGTCGTCTTGACAACAAAAACGAAGACTAGTGAAAATAATCAGTACAATTAGAGAAAATTGATCATGAATATAACAATTCTAAGATTATGTCATCGTCAAATTCAAATATTTCTACTGGTAAAAACAGACAATAACTATTTGAATTATAATCTTTCTTGTACAATTTCAGATAACTATAATAAGTACTCATGGTCAAATGAAAAATATTACAAATGATTCAGCTAGTGTTATACCCGAAGTCCATTTTTCTATGATGAATTCCATAAATCTTTCTAATTCAGGTTAGGAACTAATATTTATATGTATAACTTTAAAATAATATCATAGATATGAGTACTGAATCATCAATTGTTATGGAAGATGTAAATGACATTATTAGTAAGAGTAATAATTTCAATGATAATGCAATTCTAAAAGAACAAACTACGAATTCATCAACAACAGACACATCTGTTTATATAACTCCTAATAGAAATATAATAGTAAGCCAAGCTACAATCTTCGAGAATGATTCAACAATACCAGTTACTACTACAAGTAAATATTTGATTTTTGTTTTTTAGAAATTCATTTAATTCGTGTGCTACTTCCTTTTCTAGCTATGATATTTACTTCTAAAGAATCAAATGCCATTAATGTGACTTATCGTACATCATCAATGTTTACGGGACTCGTTACTTACGATTGTTCTACTATGAACATCTCTGATTTAATAATAGACACGAATACACCAGCGAATTGTTCTGTTCTTGAATGTTCTTCAAATAATGAAATTAACATAACATGTCACAGGATTGAAAATAAGGCTGGTCGAGACTTTGAATTCATTCTCGGTATACATAAAAATAATCAATCTATTATTAATAAAACTTTCATTGTTACACTTAAACCATTACTTCTTAATACTTCAGCAAATATCAACATAACAGTTCATGAAAATCTAACATCAGCATCTATTTTAGTATCAAATTGTGAGGAAATAGCTGAACCAGACAAACTCACCTTTAAATGCGATAGTTCCAATCAATCAAGCGAATCTTCTCTAATTAATTGTACACATACATGTGTCGATCTACAACCAGGTTGTGTTTATGAAGCATCATTGATTTTATCACCCATTAAAATATCTGATAAAGAAAATGACACGTTTCCAAATGATACTAAAACTGAAACATATCGCATAGGTAACAGGCAGATAATGATAAAATTTTAATTTTTCTTATATTTCGTTGTCATATTAGACCTTGATAAAATAACAAATTTAACTTTGGATGGAAATGTGACACAAGATGGAACAGCATTGATTTGTTTTAATCCTCCACGTGGATATTATGATGAACTTCGTTTTAATTGTTATGCAAAAGATCAAAATTGTCCCGAATCTAATCAGAACCTAACCAATAAAATTACAAACTGTTCGAACTGCAGTTTCGTTTGGATATCTCAAGTAATTCAAGGAGTTGAATATGAATGTCAAGCTTGGACTATGAAAGCAAATTTCAGTGATGCTACATCGGATCCACTTCTATTTAACACAAGTAAGTGATTAAGATCATTGTAAATCTACTTTATAGTATGTTGATTCTGTTTGAACTAGGTCTAACACCTGTGTTGTATGGAGGACAGAACTTCTTTAACACAAGTCGTATTAGTTTCCCTGTTACTCCTCAAAGTGATTATGATAATATTAGAATAAATTGTATTGCAGTTGGTCATCGATCACCGTCTTGTTCTGATGTTATAAGTCAACATAATAGTTGTTCCACAACTTTGCAACTTAATGGAACTCGTGGATGTGACTATCAATGTTCTTTTATAACACAGAAAATGCATTATAATAACGCAATTTCAACACCGGTCACCATTTCACTTTGTGATTATTTTATTAATTTAATAAAAAAAAATGAATGCATCGTTTATTTAGGTCCTCCAACACCAATAATTGAAGAATACAGAAACGCATCTCGATCGATATATATTAAATGGAAAATAGACGAAACTTCATATATTCAATCTTTTGATCTATTCAAAAACAATATTGCTATAGAAAATGCGAATGACGCAATTGTTTCAGTCAGCGATACAATTTTTTCTTATAATTATACAGATGATATTAAACCCTTTCAAACGTAAGTAATGTTTTATTCTTTATAGGTCTCGGAAGATGTATTTATTCTTTTTTAGTTATGAGCTTTACGTTCGACTCAATTCAAATTATAACGTGCCATCTAAGTCGATTGTTGTTACGACATCACCAGAAGGTAAGTAATTTCATATTTTTGTTTTAATTTAATCTCAATTATGTACAGCACCTAAAAAACCAACTGATAATGATGTGAAGAATAAAATAATTCTACAAGAAATGCATGAGGCATCAACAAGTAATCAATATGTCATTAATATAGATCTATCATTATTTTCTGATGAGTATGGTATTGTAAAGAAATATTTAATTTATGTTCGTCAAGGTAAAAAAGTCATTTTTCATTTTTGTTTTTTTTTGTATACACTTTGAAAATATAAATAATTTATTACTTTGTAGATCAAAATAATAATATGCCAGAAATAATATTGAATGGAACATATGCTGAGGCTTTAAATAATGCATTAATCGATTATTTGGCTGCTGAAATTCTGATCAGTTCTTCAGCAAAAAATCGTAAGTGACAACAGAATCGTTTTATTTATGTGAAAATATGTGTATTTTTATGAAACAAAGTTGTTACGTAGTTTTATTTTTCTCCTAGTATAGTAATAAACAAGAATGGCAATATCACTGTATTACTTGGTAATGAAACAATATGTTTAAACGAGTCTGTAAAATCTACTCCATGTAATGGTCCATTAAAACCTTCGACAAATTATAAGTATATTTCATTTTTTTTTCTATTCTTCGAATTTCTTTTTGAAAAATGAAAATGAATAGAGTGATTGTGGGTGGTTGTACAATTGCTGGTTGTACTCATGTGCTTTCTCAGCAATTTAAAACACAGAGTGAGTCATATTTACGTTTTTTGGTTCCTATTCGGATTGATCTTATATAAATAAAGATTTACCAACGCCACCTAATAATCCGGGATCATCAAAAGCATGGGTTGTCATATTTCCACTTTTAGCTGTTGCTGTTGTTGCTGGTCTAGCTGTATGGAAACGAAAACTACTTAAACAAATGTTTGATAGGAAAATTAAACCGGACAGAAAGTATTAACATTATTGAAAATTGTTTTACTGTCATAATGAATTCTATTTTAGGTATTCAAAAGATTCGCGGTAAAAACAAATGAAATCATTCTTTTCCTACAAAAATGTAAAAGTTTTTTAAATATATCTGTTTATCATTATAGGAGTTCATCAATATCATTATCATCAATATACGTTCCTCCACGGAAGAGGTAAGTTCTTGTCTATGATTAGAATTCATGAATCTAGAGTATTGCATGAGTACAACTTTTCGTACCCGTATCCAGGTACGGGTATGGGTACCCGTATCCAGGTACGGGTATGGGTACCCG